GAGTTCGCCCCTTCCTCCACTGGCTTTAAAATACAAGCTTCAAAAAGAGGAGTAATTCAAACTAACCACCGTCTGATTGCACATTTTCGTATTTGTTCATCCTTCTCTCCACGAATGTATTGGGACAGTAGCGGGAAAACTACTTTTGATGAGAAATGGACAACTGGTTACCTACCATCGACCACCGAGGAGAATATATTGATAGCAGAGCTGATGATATTCAGGATATCTTTGAAGAGCATTTTAACACTTTTGTCGAACAGATATCGATCTACAGCGTTCTTACAATTCGACGATATCCCCTCGGCCATCACACGCGCTTCAAGTTGATTGTGAATAATTTCATCTAATTCGACTTTGACCTGTGATGCAAATGAGGAAACTGTTCATTCTATATGTTCATGCATATTAATTAAATATATGGATTTTTTTTCATTCATTACACTAATTCACCTCTCTGGTGACAAAGAGTTTCTATTACGTGAATGGGTGACACGTGGGCCAACCACATCATTGATATCGGTTTATATGTAGTGGCTGCCTTCACCCATGGACGTCATTTTGTCGTCACGAAATCGTTTTGTCACTAGAGGGCACGATTTATAAGAATTGTTTATTCTGCATAGGACATATTAGCCAAATTCTCTTAATTTATGAATGGTGTTCCCGGTGAATCGCACGTGAAACGGGATATATCTGCGTCACTCATCACTCGTTCCCGCAAGCACTGAAGCCGGGGTCCCACTTGTATTATTTTATACGGGTATTTGAGGCACCATTTTTTTCATGAAAACCCACCCCATAAAATAATTTTACAAGAAAAACCCATCCCTTAAAGTGACTTAAACATGTTTTTCAGCACCAGGAACCTACCATTGCCGCATATTGCACATTACATGCATTACTAGTATATCAACACTGCTTTGATTCGGGCCCCTTGACCCTGGAAAATTCCAAAAAGGGCCCTTTTCCCATTTCAAACATAATTAATAGACCCATTGGTGTGCCTCGCATACCCGTTAATACGCTTCTACTGGTGACCACCCCCACCCGGGCGGTACTCAGACGAACATGTGAAGCGTATAAACGTAGTGGAAACCGGCAAATAATCTAAAGAGTCCAAATGTTAAGTTCATTTCAATTACGACGAATTCCCGATAACATCGCCATTTACCTCAGTGAGTTCGTTTGCTTTATCTTCTTTGGCTTCATTCAACACCTCCATGTTGAAACGATTGTGAGCGGCACCTTCTTTAATAATATTCAGTTTTCGTGTAATTTCAGCGGATTTGTCGAAGTACAAATCGTAATCAGCTTCCACGTTTTTGGCGTAGGGTATGATATCTGACGTCAGATAACTGTAGATATTGTTGTATGAGTTTGTAGGCACATTGTTGGGTCCATGAGCCCAATAATCCAAACCTGCAGTGAAATGAACAACAAGTAAACGCTGTTAATAATCAGTATTATTATACATCTGTCACC